GCGCCGCGGCGCCGCCGGCGCCGCCGCCGCCGCTGCCAGAGGTGCCAGGAGAGTCGGGTGACGATGCTCGGCGGCGGCCGGCGTTGTCCTCCAGATCATTCTCAGCCGCGGCAGACGCGCGGGCGCCAGAGTCGCCGGAGCCAGACAGGCGGGCGCGCGCCTGTGCAAGTTTGCATGGGGTTGTGTGTTCGCTTGCGTGTGCATGCGTGCGGGAGCATGTGGGTTTGTGCCCGCGTGTCTAAAGCAGCGGGGATTGCCATGCAATGAAACAGATCACAGCTCAGATCACACAGCCATGGTGGGTACCCCCAGCCTCATGGCAGGGAGCAGCAGCAGACAGACCCGGCATGACACGCACAGGGTCCCCCCATGCCAGCCCAGCCATGCGCTGAGCGTCAAGGCGCTGCGGCACCCCCACAGCTAGCCCGCTCCAGCCGCGGCGCCTGCGCCGGCACCGCCCGGCGTCATCCCCGGCACACTACGGCGGCGGCGATGGGCCACCAGTACCGGCACGTGTGCGCGGCCCGCGGCGCCGCTTCGCTGCCCTGCAGCCGTCTTACCGCGAAACCCCCGGGGCGCGTCAGTCCCTTGGTGCGGGTCCCGTCCTGCAGATTGCGCACGGTGGCGAATTGCGGCCAGATCATTGCCAGGGCGGCGCACAAGCTCAGGCAGGGCAAGTCGCAACGCGTGCGACACGCGGCGCGCGGCGTGCACGTGTGGCGTCGTTGGCGACGAACGGGGCCGCTGCCATGGGCCGCTGCCATGGGCCTTGGCAAGCCGCTCCCACGGGCACTGGCGTTGCTTTTCGCCGGCTGCTTGCCTGCTCTATGCAGACGTGATGCTTCTGCACGGGCTCCCTGCAGCAGGGAGGAGCAGATAGAAATCAGTTGAGAGAGCCCTCTTGGATCCGTGACAACAGGTGCTGGCGGCTGGAGCGGCGTCATTCGTGGGGCCCGGTGGTGACTGATGGCAGCCCCACGCCCGGCGACCGTGCGGGGCGCCGCAGCGGGGCGCCTCCAGCTGGCTCACCTGAAGCACACCCGGCCCTCGCCGGCCTTGATGACCGCATCTGAAGCGGCCATCAGCAAAAAGCACTTGCGCTTCTTGCCGCTTTCGTATGCCTCGGCCTCTGCCAACGCAAAGGCGACGGCCGCGGCTCGCTGGGCGGCAGACGGCGCATAGCCGTCGAGCAGGTGCTCCAGCTCCTGCAGGCTGTTTGGGCGGCTCATCGTCACCCTAGGATCTCGTGACGGCCCGTGGGCCTGGATCGCGGCTGGGACAGGGGAACTGCACGCGCGCTCCGCGTTGATCGGTGTTGTTGCAGTGCGCTTGGCCGTAAGGCTCTACATACGAATGTGCGTTTAAAAATAACAGCACGCAAGAGGGGCGCGTGCTGGCAAAAGTCGACGACGCAGTCAAGCGCGGCGCTGGGGCGGTCTACGTACTCGTCGCACAGTCGGCAGATCTGAAAAGACGCCGGTTCGAGCTGGATAGCCAACAGGTGGATTTCAGACTGAAAATTTGGGAATTGTGTGACCCGCCTGCGCCGCTCCGCTGCACCTCCTGACTGAGCGGCAGTACAGGCGGGCCATCACATTGACGCTCACCGGCCTCCTTGCAGCACAAGTAGGGGGCATGCCAAGCATGCGGCGCGCTCGCCACGATGCTGATTCAGCTGGGTAGCCATGTTACAACAGCGTATCCAGCCACAACAGGGGCCCTTCACATTGAAGTGCAGCAAATTGTTCGCAGCGGCGTGCTGAGTTTTAGGATGCAATGGTGCTCGTGGAGCGGCCTTGTGCAAAGCCCACAGATGCCCCAAACGCTATGCACTTTGCTGTCTGGAGTGAGCCATGCGGCCACAGCCTAGGTCAGGCAACGCCCCGTCCGGCGTCGTGCGAGTTGCCTCAAGGGTCCATCATGAGGATGCTGCGTCAAGCAAATTGACAGACCGAAGAGAAAGTCACGCAGCCGCACGGGCGTCTGCAGGTGCGACCGCAGGTCCTGGCGTGTTGCTGGTGTTGCCAGGGCTCTGTGCAAGAGCGCCTGCCTCTGTGTCGGCCGCGCAGGTGCCACAGGCGAACAGCCCCTTGAGGGGGGGTGCGCAGCCGACGGCGCCTGGTTGCACGGACGGCGTACCGCTCATGGAGGCGGAGCCCAAATGTGGGCCGTGGCACAACTGATGCCGCTCGTCCCAAACGCCCCCAACCTCCACAGGCGCGTGCTGCTGCTGCTGTGGCTTGCTGGTGCTCGTGAGCTCCAGTTGCCGCTGGTCTGTCTGCGGCTGCTGCTGCTGCTGCTGCTGCTGCTGTTGCGGCTGCTCCTGCTGCTGCTGCCGCTGCTCCTGCTGCAGCTGCTCCTGCTCCTGGTCCTGCTGCTGCTGCTTCTGCAACGGCTTGGGAGGGTGGACCGCTGCCGAAGGGCGCGCACATCCGACGGCGCTCGAAGGTCCCTGCGGTGCATGTGAGAATCAACACAGTCACAAGGTGCCCATGTACAGCAGATGCATGGGCCATGTGCATGAAAACGAGGTCAGCATACAGCCGGAGGCATGCGCTCTGCAAGCCAGGCCTGGCTGCTGCGGCCTGCGCACCTTGAAAGGGTACAGGGACCGCAGCGGCATGGGCAGGTTCTGCGCCATCCACGCGTTCACATACTGACTCATCAGCATGAAGTCGGGACAACCACTCTTCTGGAACTCTTCCCACTGACGTATGAGCAGGCGTGCGTGGTGCTTGAGAATCCGAAAGGTCCCGCATGGCCAAGCAGAATGTTTCGATCCCTTTCGCGCTTTGCATCGAGCGCAGGCGGTCGCGCGCGCGCGCGCGTCGCGGTGTAGCCGTTCGACACGGGATCACGACAGCATGTAATTCATAAAAGCTCCCCTTTCCGCTGCAAATGGCTGCTCACCTCTTCAGAGTCGGAGTCTCTGTCAGCCTTGGTGTCCAGCACGCGGGCGTCGCCGGTCGTGCGCTGCTCCATGGATGATATTAGCCACACTTACGGTACTGTCGCGAAGGCCTACCGCGTCGGGCGCGCTGAGCGATCTGATGCCGTCGATAGATACACAAAACGGCGCCTTGAAAAGCATGCGCATTTCATCAATTGCAACCTGCGTGTAACTAGTGCCGTTCACCAACGCTCTTGCGTGTGGCAACCGGGCATCAGCTGCTACCTGGGCCGATGTTCAGCGTGAGTTCATAAGTTGACCGCCAATGTGAAGCATGACCTGCTGCATAGATGGGTAGCAAATAATCATGTGTGGGCCCACGAACCCTGAGTAGCACACTCTCTCTACTGTATATTCAGCAGCTTGGAAACCTGCCTCAGGCCAGCTGCATGTTCTCGTCACCTGAAATTGCCTGCTGTGGGCTGATTGAAGCAGCTGTCAAGGCGGCCACCAGCGTTTGCATCGTGCTTCTACAGGCCTTGCTGTCGTCATTGCATTGGAGGCTCTATAGAAGGGAGAGGCAGTGGGGATGGAGGAGGAACGCAGGCATGTGCCGATGTTTACTCTGCCGCAAACAATGTGCAGTGCCGCACCTTCGCCTCTCTGTGCCCTTGCTTTCTCGGTGTCGTATGCACGCGGATGTCTGCCGATATTTTCTCATCAGATGTGCACATCGTGCTTGGTGTGCATGTGCAGTCGTGCAGTGTGTCAACTTGCTGGCTGCTGCCACAGGATTGTACCGTTCCTGCTGATGCCGCATCAGTGCATCTTATGGTGAAAGAGGCTTGAGTACGGCAATTCCTGCGGCCAGGTTTGTACAGCAGAGGGAACCTAGCGCTGCCACCGCAGCATGGAGAATGTCCCGCGCCCGCGAGCTCGCTGCATTGGCATGGGTCTGCGCAATGGCTGTGACAGGTTGTATGCTAGACGAACGCGGGAGTTCAAGACAGTGGCACCAAGGACAATTTTTATCCAGCAGCCCTTGGCAGGCACGTGGGATACCGTACTCACTTGGCCGCGAGCAGCCCAAGCCGACACCGTCAGTGCGCTAGCGGCGTCCTGGCAGCGGGCGTCAGGCGTACGTGTTATCGTACGAGTGGTGCGGTGGTACGATATGGTTGTGTGTGATATAGTCTTGGAAATGAATGGCAAAGAGCTTGTATATGTACACGAGAGCCACAGCCAGCTCTCAAGATCAATGACTCGATCAGAATGCTCCGCGTGAACAGCCGGGACGTCCTAGTTGTCCCGCCCTTCGAATGTGCCTGGTTATCACTTAGCGACTACGGTTTGGACGGCGCCTGCTGCCTCACCTTCGACTACAAAGGCAAGCGCAACAGCTGCAGCAGTGGCGCACATGATGGCGGGCTTGCGATGCCCCCACTGCTGCATGTCGATATCGGTGGCGCCAGGCACCCCGGCAGCAGCAAAACCAAGCTTCATAGCCAGAAAGCAGCCGCAAAGAAGCTTGCAGACGCAGGCATATCTCTCGACGCAGCAACCTTTGGCACTCGCCTGCATCTTCACATGAGCGTGTGCGCTGGCGCTGCGCCGCATCCCCAGGTGATAACGATGTGACCGTCATATTCAAAGCTGTCGCTGGCGCTAAGCGCTGGCAGCCGCTCGCGCGGCCGCGGGGCGCGGAGGGCGCGGCCAGCGTTGAGGATAACTACACTGTCATCCTGGGCAGCCACCGCAACAGCCGGCTCAAGTTTGAGAAGAATGGGGAGGAGATGGAGCTGGTGGGCAGCTGCAGGGCAGCTGGAGGTGGCCTGAGGGACAGCGCGTTTGCTCGCGATAAGGGGGATCAAGCGGTGGCCGACGGGAGCCGGGCACAGCGGTTGCTGCTGGCGGTGCGGCGCCGCGGCGGCGCAACCAGCGTCCACCACGCACATGCTGCCAGGCCCCGCGCCTCGCCACCACGCGCAGCCATACAGTCTCACTAGAACCCTCTTATCCCCCACCCACTGCAGCACCTGGCCCTCAACGGCACCTGACTGTTCCCTCGAACCTCATCCTGCACCCCTTGTGCCAGGTCCAGGGGGTGGACGGCGCCAGAGTCGGGTCCCGGGATTTCTCGCCCTTCTGGGTCAACTGCCAGGACGGCGCAATCACAGTGGGGTCCGGGGAGCCGGGGGCGGGCATCGCGCACAGATGGGTGGACCCCAGGCCTGGCGACCTGGCGAGGGTGAGCAGGTTGGGGTGCTGCAACCAGCTGGGGCTAAACCCTGCATCTTAAGCTGGCCGGGGCTGGGGTGCCTGGCCTGGAGGACCTGGCTGCGACGCTGGCAGCCCGGTAGGTTTTCGTGAGGAAGCCACGCAAGTGAGCACCAGGAAAACCGCAGGCAGGAGCATCGCCCACTGGCCTGGCCGCGCAGCCCATTGGCGCCGCCGACAAACGCCCCCACACGTGCCGCCCGCGCCCACGCCCCTCCCCCGTCGACCACGGCGCGGGCGCGGGTCTTGCAGGGGGTGCGGCATGCGGGCCTCAGCTGCTGGGACCGCCACGTCTCGTACCGCAATGTGCGCGTGCTGCCGCCCCTGGACCCGGCCCTCCTGGAGCGCGAGGCGACGCGCCAAACGGAGCAGCGGCGCGCCGCCGCCGCCGCGGACCCAGTGGCCGCGGCGACCGTCGGCGCCGCTGCAGCGGCCGCGCCGCTGCCAAGCTTGTTCGAGCTTGCGTCGGCAGCGGTGGTGGCGGCGCTGACGCCCGCCTCGGCCTGCCAGGCGCTGCAGGTGGGCGCGGCCTTGATTATGCTGCTTCCACTATTACTGTATTATAATGGCCGCGTGCTTCAGGTTCGTCGGCCCCTGACGGGCGTGGAACCGGCCCATCCCACATTTGATAGTTACCATCTATTGTGCTGCCTTTGCCTCTCTCTCCATGCTGTTCCCGCCTCGGCCCACCGTTGCGCGCGCCGCAGGTGGCGGAACTCCTGCTGCCCACCGCATGCGACGTGTACTCGGCCGCCGCCGAGTTTGTCCGGCGGCGCTTCGAGCAGTGCGCGGGCGCGGCGCTGCGGGAGCTGGCACAGCTGTCGGCGCCGGCGCTGGCCGACGTGCTGACAGAGCCCCTACTGGTCAGTGCTGCGCTGCTGACCGTGCCACGGGCCACTGACAAGCCCCAGGACGCTTGAGCCGCACGCCATAGCCTGCATGCATCGATCGTTTTTAGAAGCTTTCCGTACATGCTGATGCCATGCGGATGGGTGCCCTTCCAGGTGCTTGCAGACGTCATGGCTGCATAACGCACCTCCGTAACCCTGATGTTGCACCCACCCTGCCGCCGCAGTCTGTCAGGGAACCGCTGATATTTCAGGTGGTGGCCGCCTGGGCCAGCTATGGCGAGCCGCCACCTAGCCCTGCTGCTACCTCGGCGGCAGGCGAGGGCTTTGATGACAGCGCCTGCGGCGGCCGCACCAACGGCGGAGCGTTGCATGCAGGGGGGCGTGGGAGCATCAGCGGCAGCAGCAGCAACAGCAGCAGCAACAGCAGCAACAGCAGCAACAGCAGCAGCAGCGAAAGCAGCTGCAGTGGCGGCGGCGCCTGCGGCAGCCCGGCAGTGGTTTGTGGCGGGGCTGCTTACAGGCCAGCGTCAGAGCTGCTGTTGGTAATCCCCCTGGTCCGCTTTGTGCTGATGAGCGAAGAGGACCTGCAGGTGCGTCAAAACATCAGTATTGCTTGAGTGAATGTGAATTCAAATCCGATTTAATCAGTCGCCGCTGCCTGATGGTTGCTTGTGCATTGGCGTTTGACCTGAGTAAGACCTTCTCGACACGATGCGACAGCTACGTCAATCCAACATGCTGAACCAACTGCCACCATCAAATCCAAACCTGCATTGCACACCCACGCCTTCGACTCAACAATGCATGCAGGGCGTCCTGGCGCACCCCTTCGTCCGCCACAACCCCCTAGTGCGGCAGCAGATTGAGCGCGAGCTCTCAGACGCACGCGCCGGCGCTGGCAGCGAGGGCGCCGCCGCCAGCTTTGTATTCGAACGCCGCCGCCTCGTGCGCCCCGCCGCCGCCGCTCCCCTCGACTCTCTTGGAGCCACCGCTGGCGGCGGCGCCGGAGCCTGGGACCCGCCGTCGCCACCGCGGCGGCTGCCGCAGCAGCAGGAGGACCGGGTGCAGCAACAGCAGCAGCAGCAGCAGCAGCAGCAGCAGCAGCAGCAGCAGCAGCAGCAGCGATATCAGCGCCGCCTGGCGCCGGCCTGCCGCGAGCTCATGTACGTGTATGACGGCGACCGCAACGGCGTCATCGCGCACATCGCCACGGACTACGGGTCAAAGCAGTGGGTCAACCCCGTGCTGGCCAAGCGCATCGAGGTGCGGGCCAGCAGCCCGGCCAGCAGGTTCACCGACCCCAAGGTGGGCGCGGGCGGAGGGGACACACAGGATTTGGCGAGCGCGGGCGATGGGAGGCGCCGCCTCGACGCCGGCTGGACGCGCCTTGCTGCCGCCCCGCATCCCGGCTTGCGCCCCTGCCCCGCCCTGGCCGCCGCGCATCCCTGAACGGCACGCTGCCGCCGCCGCCTGCCTGCCGTCCCCCCTTGCGCCGCCGCCGCCGATGTCGTCCCCGCCAGGCGCTGGTGAGCGGCGCGTTCCTGCGCACCTCGTTCGCGTGCCCGCGCTACGAGGGCGGCCAGCCGTCGTCATGGTGGCTGGTCGACCTGGGGCCCTCCCACAGGTGTGATTGCAGGGGCTGTGAAAGGGGTACATCAAGGGAGGGGGGACGGCAGGGCTCTGCTCTGTTGCTGGGGGTCAGACACAGGAAGCAGGCGGTGCTGGGCGTCGCCATGAGTATGGCGCCGGTTTTGCATGGGCTGTGATCATGATAATTGCTAAGCGTACGTGCAGCTCATCCGTGGTCGCTAATCACATTTGACACCAGCAATTACCCACAGCCCCCCTGCCCACGCGCACACGCATCATTAACCCACACGCATCCGTGCGGCCGCAACCTCAAACTTGCCAGGTTGTTGTGCAACTACTACACAATGCGCCATGACAGCAGCAGCGACTTCCCGCGCCACTGGGTCCTGCAGGTGCGCCGACGCGTATCGCCCGTCAGCTCATCTTCACACTGCTGGCCCCTGCGCCCTCGCCGCGCCGCCACGGCGTGGTCCCACCTTGCCAGCCAGCTGCCTTGCCGGCCAGCTGTGAGCAAGCCAGCCAGGGGGGCGTGGCCCGTCTGAAACCCCCAGTTGCAGACCTGTTATCACCATTATCATAGCCTGCGGTGCATGATGATCCCGGCATTTTTGGTCATGGCTTTCGCGCCCTCGCTTCATTCACCACCCATGACGTCCTCATACGCCGTCCTGTCCACCAGCTTCACATCTCGCCCACTTTCTGGAAGTCAACGCCGTCGTTCATATTCACAACTGCCACAACACTGCAGGCGTCCAACGACCTCCAGCACTGGGTCGACCTGCGCCGCCACATCGCCGACGCTGCCATCCGCCTGCCCGGCCAATACGCCAGCTGGCCCGTCTCTGGCCCCGCGTCCCACATGCCGTTCCGCGCCTTCCGCCTGCTGCTGGCCGGCCCCACGCTCAGCGCTGCGACGCCCTGGAATTTCTGCCTGAGCCACGTGGAATTCTACGGCTACTTTTTTGGGGCCGCCCCAGAGGCGGCCGGCGGGGGCGCCCAGGCTGGCAGCGGCGGCGCACCCGGTTGCGCAGCCTCGCCGCTGGCGGCAGCCGGCGGTCGAGGGGGCGCCGGCGGAAGCGGCGCGTGAGGGCGCAAGGGTTGGGCATGGACTGCTTCATTGCCTTTGCCTGGCGTGCGCTGCACGTTTCTCCCACTCTTGCCATTTTTGATGAAGTGACCCCACAATCATTCACAGAGCAACCCAATACATGGGCGCACTGGCTGCTTGCCCGCAGTTTTTGCAGCTGGACGCAGCCCGCGCTGCGCCCCCCTGCGTTTGTCGCTGGCCCCGTAGCTGGTCCCATGCAGGAGCATGCCTGCATTCCATCATCGACACAAACCCCCTCATCAGCACACCAGTGCCTGCTTGCCTGCTGCATAGCGAGCTGGCAGTTCATGAAATCATGGGCCACACCTTTGACTTGCCCCCCTTCCCTTCCTGTTGACATGCCTGCTCTGGCTGTTGACTGACAAAGGTGTTGCATGTGGCGCAAAACAGAAGGTCTTTGTTGCGGCGTGAACGCATGCAATCCACTCGTCACCAAGGCATCAGGTGTTGTCCCGCAGGTCTTGGGGCAGTGCTTTGGCTTGCATGCTATCATGCATCATCTTGTGTTTTCCTATTGTGATCATGTGGAAGCTTCAACGTGGTATGCACTGTTTTGTTTGTGACGATTTTTCTGCACCTGAGGTGTCACCAGCCGGGCAGGTTCACAAGCAATGGTACGGGGCAGGTGTGGAGTCGGTGCCGAGGGAGGAATGCAGGACTGAGACGCATTAGAGCATCACAATAGGTCGATGAACATGTTGCTTGCTTCGGCGGATCTGCTGGTGCGCGTTGATGTGCAACCAGCACCAGTAGTACATACTGTCAAGTGATCGGATGCTGCTTGGAGACGCTGAGCAGGCACACTCATGCTTGAGGTGTGCATGCAGTGGCATTGCCACGTGGCTCGCAAATGGGCGGCGAGAATCTTGCCACTAGCTGCGGCCCCCCAGCCAAGCTGTAGAGCTCCACATGCTCCACGTGCTTCTCAACATTTTGAAACGACCAAGGCGGCGCCCGTCCTCGGACAGCAAGGGAAAGCCAGTATCAGAGGTATGACCTGAGGTTCAAATTGTAGAACTTGATCTGCAGCACGCGCCATTAGCTAGTGTATGTATACTCGGCATGTATGACGCCAGGTCACAGTGGTCACGAGCGTCAGTGTGCAGCGTCGACGCGTGGCGTCATTTAGGTAGCATGTGGTGGGTGCACAACTATTACAAATGGTCACAGAAACCTGCCATGAACCAGCAGGATGAGGTTATCGAGCGGGGAGGGGGCGAAATGTAGCGCCGGTAGTGGGGCGCTTGTGGGCTCGGCTGGCAAGGCCGCAAATCATGTTGCTCCTCCTCCCGATTTGCCGATGTGGTTTCTTAACGCCTAGATGCACCGGCTCAGCTTTCAGTCGTGAAGTAAAACCTATATCCGATAGACATCAATTGCGTTGCCTGAAAACACTCACAACTCAAACGACGGTCTCGGCAAGATCACTGCTGTTTTGTGACACCTCGACGTGCTCTACTCTCTCATTTGGATCTGGTAACGTGTCAAAGACACTCTATTGTTCCGGCTTGTCGATCCTTCGCCCGGCGCGGACTCGAGATCACACTCCGGATCCTGCCAGCGGGAACAGCCTCTACCAATATGGCCGAGGGCCTGGCGAAGCACTTGGAGGGCAAGGGCCTCAGGGAAGGTGCTCAGCGCCTGTCGGAGGCCCTGCAGAAGGCCAAGCCTGATGCGGACGAAGCGGCGCTCCAGGTGGGCGGCGACCGCCATCCCGGCGCGGCATGTAACCGCCTGCTGCACTGCGCGGGGAAGGCGCGGTGACTAACCCGCTGATTATGACCGCCTGCTGCACCTCTTTGAGCAGCTGCCGGCACCTTGCTGAAATATGTCATTGTGAACTCCGTTGCCACAGAGCACGTTGGCATCGCCGCGTCTCGACCCAGCCCCCCTCCCATCACCTACCCCCACGCCCACCGCCCCGACCCCAAACCCCAAACCCCTCCCCAGTCGGCCGTCGACGCCCTGCTGGCGCTGCCCGTCCCCCTGGACCCCCCCGCCTGGCTCGACTGCCTCGACCGCTGCGCGCCGCTTATCGCGGAGGCGCCGGCCGCGCTGACGCAGCGCCTGGCCGCGCTGCAGCGCCTGCTGGGCGGGGCGCCAGAGGACACGGCCGCGGCGCTGTCAAAAGCACCCTACCTGCTCCTGCATGAGAGCGCATCGGTAGAGGCCAAGGTGCGCGCAGGCGGGTTGAGAAGGCAGCTGGGTTGCGATGCGCGTGGCTGGGATGGGGTCGATCTTGTCGGGTGGCGCCTGTCTGGTGGTAGCCGCAGGTTCCTGAAAAGCAGTGGTTATATTTGTAGGATGGTAAGTGCGGCAGCTGTGTGTGTATGAATGTGTGTGTGTGTGTGTGTGTGTGTGCGCGCGCGCGCAAATGCGCGCGCCCGTGCAAACGCGCCAGCAGGCTGCCTCCAGAGCGCAGCCGTGGGCCCTCCGCCTGAGAGCCCCGCCTTCTCCGCCATGCTTGACCCACCCATCAATCAACCCCCTCCCACCACGCGCCCACGCCCTCCCCTCACGTCCAAGGTCGAGGCGCTGCAGGCGGTGCTGGCGCTGCCGCCCGGCGACGCGACGCCCGCCAAGATCGTGGACCGCTTCGGGCGCTACCCCTCCCTGATTGAGCGCAGCGTGGAGGGCCTGGAGGCCGACATGCAGGCGCTGGCTGACCTGCTGGACATAGAACTCCAGGTGATGTTTGCACGCGCGCGCGCGCGCGTGTGTGTGTGTGAATGTGTGTGTGTGTGTGAATGTGTGTGTGCGCGCGTGTGAACGCGTGTGCGTGTATGTGAGTGTGTGTGTGGAAACAGGGAGGGAGGGAGGAAGGTGAGGCCCCTGGCAGGCCTCGCTCGCGATGCGGGGCGCTGTGGCCTGATGGGGCCAACTCAGGCGGTTTCAACCCAGGTTTTCGGGCTCTCACGTGGCTCGAGAAGTGGGGTATCACGCCCGTCCAGGCGGCGGGGTCGCAGGTGTTGCGTGGGCGCATGAGTATTGCCCTGCGGCCCCGCACCGACGCCGCTTGCTGCTCTCTGCCCCTCTGCCCTGCCCTGCGCTGCGTCAGGCGGCGGTGCGGCTGGCGTTCAAGGTGCCGGCGCTGGCGGCGCACCCCGTGCAGGAGCTGCGGGAGCAGATGGAGATGCTGCAGACGGTGGGCGGCGGCAACACCACCAGCTGCAGCAGCAGCAGCAGCAGCAGCAGCAGCAGCAGCAGCGAGGGCTTGACAAGTCGCACGCAATTGCATTGTTGCTGGTTTGCTTCGCTGCAGCTCTGGTTATGGGCGCGAGTGAGGTCGACCCCAGCACGTTGCGCCCCACTCTGGAGGGCTGTAGAAGATCGGATCCGCCTGGTGTCGCATGAGCATGCCGGCGTGCGGTTTCAGGCGTTGCACACACACACACACACACACACACACACACACACACACACACACACACACACACACACACACATACATACACACATACACACACACTCACTATTCGCGACTGCACCCCCCGGCCCTGCCCCGCAGCTGCTGGGCATTGACCAGGCGGCCGCCCGCGCCATCGCGGTGCGCCAGCCGTCCCTGCTCACGCGCCAGGCGTCCGGCGTCGAGGCCAAGGTGCGGCGGCGGTGCAGCAGGGGTTGCCTCCGGCCGCCCTTGTTGCAGAACCCTTGGCTCGAGAGGCACGGGCGCGGCACGCCTGGCGTCGGGGCTCGGCCTGCTTGTGTGTGTACGCTTGGCCCACATGCCATGCCCAGCTCCCTCCCCCGACCACCAGTGCCCCCTAACCCACATCCCAATGCCTTGCTTAACAATTACAACCCCTGCAATGCATCGTACTGCCCTGGGCAACACCTCAGGCGGCAGAGTACAAGACCCTGTTCGGCGAGGCCCCCGCCCGGGACATGCTGGCAGCTGCCCCGCAGCTGCTGACGATGTCCTGCGACAGCGTCAAGGCGCGCCACGAGCTGCTGCAGCGGCTGGCCCAGGCGCAGGCGGCCTGGGCGGCGCAGCTGGCGGAGGCGGGGCCCGCGCTGCTGGGGGTGTGGCTGACCAGCAGGTGTGGGCGTGGGGGTCCAGGGTCATGACTCGTGGGCGGATGCTGTAAGCAGCTCCAGCTCTAGGGCGCGGCCTTTCCTGCAGGCAAGCCTGACTGGGCGCCATGCGTTGACGCTTGCGCTGTGATTGCGCAGCGGCGCCCGCAGCGCCTCCCACACCCTTGTCTGGCAAGTGCGCGCCCAGCGCCGGCCGCTCAGCCGACCGCCTGCGTTGCTCACCTTTCCTTTATTTGCAGCGAAAAGAAGCTGCGGCGCCTGGAGCAGGCGTCCCCTGTGCCCCGGCTGGCGCACATGTCGCTGCAGAGGATCCTAAACCTCTCAGAGAGCCGCTGGGCGCGCGATGTCGAGGCAGCGCAGGCGGCTGGCGGCGGCGGCGGCGGGGCAGCAGCCAGGGGCGGCGGCGGCGGCGGCGGTGGGGCGAGTGGTGGGGGCGGCGGGGGTGCGGCGGCCGAGGAGGGCGGCGACGGGTCCGGGCGCCCGCGGCGGCCGCGGGGTGGGCGGCGGGAGCGGGAGAAGCGGGAGAGGCGGCTGGCCCGCGAAGCGGGGGACGGCTCCGCGGCCGGCAGCGCGGCGGGGGCGCAGCAGCAAGCCAGGCCGCAGGCGCCGCCGCGCAGCGCCGCGGCGGCGGGCCCGGTCGATGGCGAGGGCGCGGAGGGCGGCGACGAGGACGCGCTCGCGGAG